AATTCCTATGGTGATTAACAATTACACAATTAAAGTTGCTTCCATTTACAAATATAGGCCTAAATCGTAAATCTACAAATACAATTATTACAAAATTATATGCTTCAATTACAAATATAGTTTGCTTTTTTTAAATACAAAACCCCAGTGGCTGATCTAGGGGGGGGGGGGGGGGGTGGTGGTGTGAATAGGGTGGCTAGCCACCCTTCTTTGTTTACCGTGAACAAAAATAATGGTCACTCGCCTTGTGTGTGTGCTTCTCGTGTGCACTCTGTAAAACATGCACATTCTTTTTTAAGCATTTCAATTTCTTGCTTGAAGTTTTCTCAGGGCATTGCCGATTTAATCACCAAATTGGGGGACTTCGTCTTCGCTTCGCATCGTTAAAAGCTATATTAACTATTAGCACATTACAGTGGCGGATCCAGGAGGGGGCGTTCAGGGGGTTCGGACGAACCCCACTCTGTGAAGAAACGTAACAAAATACTATAGGTCCTGGCTTACAAAATTCATGCTAAGTAGACGCGGATCCAGACCTTCGCCCACTACGCCTGCAGGCGACGAAGGTCAGGGTGAGAATTCAAAATAAAATGTTAAACATTTTTTTCCAACAATCATATTTACTTTCCTTGACACTTATTTTGAACATTACCATTAGGAAAATGTTTAAATCCCCACTATCCTATACAGTACACTTTTAAACTGATTGTACTGTAGGCCCTACCATAGAGAGAGAGGTGTATTTCCAATACATTATGGTCTTCCACTTCTATAGCGCATGATACAGTGCATTGCAAACGTTATGTAACCACTAATAATACTTAGGTCCAGTGGCACAGGTATGGACAGTGCAGTCAGTGCACAGAACTGGGGCCCGGGACTATTGGGGGCTCAGGTCTAATGATCTAAAAATATAACTTTAAAAAAATCCTATTTAAACTTTGAAAGGGCCCTTCAATAATAATTGTTGTAGATGCTATATATTATTGATTATATTCATTACAATTTACCTATTACCTATTTCCCAAACGCTGCAAGTAAAAAAACAACAACAAAACAAGCCCTTACACATTTCTAAAGCATAAAAATATCGTCACGCACATTTGTGTTTGTGGTATTAAAGTTGGTTGAACTATTATTGTGTACGTTTTTAAACACTTCAGAATATCATAACATCATGAATACATTTTAGATTCAATTCACTGCGTCGATGACTGTTCTATTACTGAATGGTAAATGTTATTTTCGTGACGATATACAATACCTGGATTTGCGTCAGGAGAATCAATTAGGGGGCCTATATGTATTTTGCCCAACCTGTCGTGAAAATATATTGAATACTCAGTGCGTGATTCAATATACATTTTTAAATTACATTTCTAAAGCAATAAAATATTTCACGCACATTTGTATTTGTGGTATCACCGGGTCCCACTATAGCCAATTTGGCAACAACTGGACACAATGAAAAAGAATAGGATTATCTTTGAAAATATTAAACAAGATATTTATAGTTTATCACTGTGTCCCACTATAGCCAATGTAGGGCACTGAAAAAAATTGTTGGATCTTCACCCCCCACCCCCTCCTCCCGCCCCGCGTGAAAAAATAGGGCAATATTGATGCGGGATAAAAAAAAATACTTTGCCGCATCAATTATTTTAACAGCATAACACAATGCAAATCTGTGACTTCAGATACATTTCTTTAAAAAACTATAAAATTTAATCCCGTTTTTATACAATATTTATTATTACTGTACTAGCCAAAATATAAACAGTCCCTCCCTCATCAATTAAAACAAAAGCGAAATAATCAATTGTTCGTATTTTTAAAAAAAAACAAAAAAAAAACGCCCTCCCTCACCGTTTATTTTTTTTTTTTTAAAGAGTGATAATCTAATAATTTTTTCTATGTGCTCTTAGCAGTCACTGAACACAATCTTGGAAAATATTAAACAAGATATTTATAGTTTATCCCTGTGTCCTACTATAGCCAATGTAGGGCACTGAAAAAATTTGTTGGATCATCACCCCCCACCCCCCACCGCCCCGCGTGAATAATTCGGGAAATATTGATGCGGGATAAAAAAAAAATACTTTGCCGCATCAATTATTTTAACAGCATAACACAATGCAAATCTGTGACTTCAGATACATTTCTTTAAAAAACTATAAAATTTACTCAAGTTTTTATACAATATTATTATTACTAGCCAAATATAAACAGTCCTTCCCTCATCAATTAAAACAAAAGCAAAATAATCAATTGTTCGGATTTTTAAAAAAAAATTAAAAAAACGCCCTCCCTCACCGGAAATTTTTTTTAAAGAGTGATAATCTAATAATTTTTTTCTATGTGCTCTTAGCAGTCACTGAACAAAATGAAAAAGAAAATGGTTAACTTAGAAAATATTAAAGAGGACAGTTTTACTTTATCATTGTGTCCCACTACAGCCAATTTGGCAACCATTGGACAAAATAAGAAAGATTAGATTAAAGAAAGATTATCTTGGAAGATATTAAAAGATATTTATAATTTATCACTCTGTCCCACTATAGCCAATTTAGGGCACTGAATAAATTGTTAGATTATCACTCCCCCCACCCCGGGAAAAATTCTTGAAATATTGATGTGGAATAAAAACAAAACTTTTTTCGCCGCATCAAGCATCAATTATCTTAACAGCATAACACAATGCTATTTTATGACTTTAGATGCATAATTGTTAGATCTTATACACATCCCACTCCCCACCCCGGGAAAAATTCTTGAAATATTGATGTGGGAATAAAAACAAAAATCAATTATTTTAACAGCATAACACAATGCTATTTTATGACTTTAGATGCATTTCTTTAAAAAAACTATAAAATTAAACCAGTTTTTATACAATATTTACTAGGCCTATTACTAGCCAAATATAAATAGTCCCTCCCTCATCAATAAAAACAAAAGCCCAATAACGAATTGTTCTGATTAAAAAAACAAAAACAAACAAACAAAACCGCCCACCCTCATCGTTTTTTTTTTAAAGAGTGATAATCTAATAATTTTTTCTATGTGCTCTTAGCAGCCATTGAAAACAATGAAAAAGAATAGGATTAACTTAGGAAATATTAAAGAAGACAGTTGTACTTCATCACTG